ACAGTCCCGCGCGCAGGCCTTCTTCTTCAGCTTGCAGACCCTTCTTCTTTCAGTCATTTCGTCGACCACTTGGCGTGCAGCTCCAAGAGGTCGCACCAGCTGCTCCAAGGGACCTCTAAGCTTAATTCCATGGCTTCCAAGAGGTCGCGCGACCCCATTGACCCCACTGTGGCTCCGCCTCTGCTAATCACTAAAGTTATTTATTTTTTTATGTATTTCAAGCATAAAATAGTCCAATCTCAATAGTTCCCACTCGTAGGTATTGTTAATTAGGCATTAACAATGCGGTAAGATTGGCATATTCTATATCTACTCAATGCCGAAGATAATTTGGTCTCAATTATCTGTGTAGAGACACTAAAAGAGGAATTTGGGTACCTATGTGTTGGCGTGACTTGTGGATCATTTACTTTCTTTCCTTACACACTAAGGATTCCCATTATAATTATATTCGATTTACTTTAATTCATAATTTCCTACTGTAAATATAAATATGAATTTATTATTTATTTGGCCATTAAGGCTCAATTGTATTATAAATATGACCTCTTATAAGGAGAGGAATACACAAAAAATTCCCACAAACAAATATTCTCTCATAGTTCTCATATTTTAGCATGGTATTAAAGCGGTGATCTTGGAATTGCTGACTTTAGTTTCAACCCTCGCTGCTGCTATGGGGGTTGATGATTTTTTCAACTCTCATGGAGGTAGCACCACTGACTCCTTCTATCCTTCTCAACCAACCATAGCCGAGTTGAGTGCCCAGGTGGCTTAGCTCCTACATGATTTTTTCAACTCTCATGGAGGTAGCACCACTGACTCCTTCTATCCTTCTCAACCAACCATAGCCGAGTTGAGTGCACAGGTGGCTTAGCTCCTACATATGCAGACTTCGACCCCGAACTCGATCCTGAATCAAATCCTATTTTGACGACCCCGACCCCAACTCCGACTACGACGACGACCTCGAACTCGATCTTGAATCAGGATCCTATTTTGATGACCCCGACCCCAACTCCAACTACGACGACGACCTCGACCTCGACTACAACGACGACCCCGACTTCGACTACAACGACGACCCCAACCCCGACTACGATGACAATGACCTCGACCCCGAATCTATCTATGATTCAGACCCAGATCCCAACTTCGACTTTGACGTCGACCTCGACTCCAGCTCAAATCCCAATCCGGATTCCTACTAAACCTATATCCTATGCATCTTCTGCTGCACAAATTATGACTTCCCAACTAATGACCCCGTCACATGGACGAGATTACTCATACTATGGTGATCCGAGACACAGTCGTGCAACTTGTTTTAAAATTGCATGGCTACCCCGAATGGTGGGCTACTCTCAAAGATCGAACACAATGCGATACGACCCGTAATGGTACTAGTTATGGATTCCATACTTCGGATAAGAGTGATTCCACAAGCTGGATAATTGATTCCAGTGTAACTGATCATATGACGATTGATCCTAATGATTTCTGAATACTACCCAACCTCGACGAACTTGTATTGCTAATGCCAATGGAGTTACTTATCCTATGATAGGGCCTGGCACTGTTGCACTCTCATCCTCTCTCTCACTATCTAATACTTTATTTGTTCCATCTTTATCCAATAAATTGATGTCAGTTAGTCAGCTTACTGAACAATTGAATTGTTGTGTACTCATTTACTCGAGTTTTTGTTTGCTTCAAGATAGTCACACTAAGGAGATTCTTGGTCATGGTACTAAGAGAGGGGGGCTATATTATGTAGATGACTTCAGTCCCAGTATGGCTAACAGTGTGATGCACCCCTCTGATAGCAAATAAGAGCAAACTTGGTTGTGGCACCGTCGATTAGGACATCCATCTTTTACTTATATGAAGCATCTTATACCCGTTTTATTCTCAGGTTTCAAGGATTCCGACTTCACATGTGATACTTGTATTTTGGCCAAGAGTCACTGTGTGCCCTATCCGTTGAGTACGAACAAGTGTCCTACTCCATTTACATTATTTCACTTTGATGTCTGGGGACCTTCACTTATCACTACTCCTTCTGGCATTCAGTGGTTTGTCACATTCATAGATGATTGTACACGGCTGACATGACTTTATTTGTTGAAAAATAAAAATGAAGTGTTTTCTTATTTTCAGTTCAGACAATGGTGGAGAATTTTTCAATCATGACCTTTAGGCCTACTTCCAACAACTTGAAATTATTCATGAGACGACTTGTCCTCAGACACCACAACAAAATGGTGTTGTTGAACGAAAGAATCAGCATCTTCTTGAAACCGCTCTAGCACTTCTGATTGGTGCTCATGTTCCTCGCCATCACTGGGATGATGCTATTGTTACCGCAGTTCACCTGATCAACCGCATGTCTTCTGGTGTATTGACCTTTAAAACTTCCTTACAAGTGATTGAGCAACACAGGCCCCTACTCTTTGTTTTGGTACGCACACCCTGAATCTTTGGATGTGTGGCTTTTGTTCATCTCCACAAAAATCAACGTAGCAAACTTGATCCATGTGCACTTCATTGTGTTTTTGTGGGTTATGTCACTCGTTAGAAAGGCTACCGTTGTTATCACCCTTCTACTCGATGTACCTATGTCACTTTGGATGTGACCTTTCTGGAATCTGAGATGTTCCTCCATGACCCATCATCCAATTCTACGCTTTAGGGGGCGATACTTAGTGAAGAGTAGAATTGAAGCAACTTGGAAAAAGAAGAAATTCACCTCTGTACATAAACGATCGATCATCCCTAGTCTAAAGCACGAGATTGCTCTCTACCAAAAAGCGATCAATCACTCTCTGCCAAAAAGCAATCAATCACCTGACCCCTACGAATATGTTTCTAATTCGAGTCCCGCACTTACAGACAATACAGAACAATGAGATGAAGACCCCCCCTCTAATTCAACAGTACCAACAAACCAATCTCTTGAGAATATCCTTGAGGTAACTACTCATACTACACTTGTGAATTTAAAGGATAAATCTGTTGGATACCAATTACCTTTCAGGCAATATCATGGAAAGCCACTAAACCGTTATTCACCT